CTCCTTCACTTATGACTCTCACCCTCCTTCTCTTGCCACTCCACTCACAATACTACTCACAAAAAAAAAAAACCAAACAACTAATGCAGAACATCCAGAGCTGACACAAGTTTGCAAACATTTCTGAACCATTAATTTGCAAATGCAAAATTCACACATCTCCTGGGGATCTGTGCTGTATTAGTCAAAGGTTTAAACCCAGTGTATTCCCCATGAATAATCTTTCTCCCTTTCCCCCTCCTTCTTCCTGTCCACATGTAAATGCAGAATTTCTTGTCTTTAGTTTACAGATTATGTGATCCGAAGTGTCACTCACTGGATTACTGCACATAACCTGAGCACTACCCAAAGCTTACTTGTCTTCAACTTGTCCAGCATTACTTAAATGGAATTATCCATCACAATCCATACACGGAATCTGCACAGCTCACTTATCTCAAGATTCTGTGTGTCACCTACCAGATTATCCCTTTTAATCCATACATTGAATCTACATAACATATGTCTTTAATTCACGGGCTCTGATGAGCCATAGTATCGCTGAATGGATTATTTCTCTTTAGCCATTATTGGCAGCCCTAAAAGCGTTCACTGCCTCCTCTCCCGTGCCCCATCTCCTGAGCACACCAGCAAAAGCAGAATCTCCAGCAAACCCAGCTCTGTGCCACATCAAACCCAGCCTGACAGCACCTCCGTGGCACCTGGAACCCGGTGCTCACACAGAACAAACCTCTGTGCTATCTTCAGCTGAAGGTCAGGGTTGGTAGGTAATCTCACTTTCAACTACTTCCATAAATCTGTGTTACTCCAGCACAGCCTCCAGAGTCACCCAGGCTGCAGTGGAGACAGCCAGGAGCTGATTTTAACCCAACCACAATCCCTTCCACGGGGAGTGCAGAGAACTTCACCTGGGTTGTTTACAAACTAACCTGCACAACACAAAAGGTTTTTCAAACAACAGCAAAAATAGATCAGATTCAGACCTGCCCAGTCTTTCTGGAGAGATTTGGCCACAATCACTGTTAACAATGCCTTCAACAGAAAACCAGCTCAGAAAGATTGGAAACAGAAGTCTGTTCAACCTTTTGTTCCACACACCTATTCAAAATTAGCTAAGTGGGAAACATAAAAAACATGCAATGCTGTGTCTTGCCAAGTTTCAGCAGCGAGATGGACAAGATTAGCAGCAAGGCTTTGTGCACACCGCGGAGGGTTTAAGAAGAGTTCTCATCGTGGTGAAAGCTGCCTCCCTCACCCCAGTGTGAGCAAGCCATGATGCACCTGAGGCCCAGCACCAGTGGAAGAGCAGCTTCGTGTTATTTTCACATATATAGGAATGACCACTGATAATTAAGGAAGAAATGTATTTTTGATAGCTTTTCCTAGTAACACTGAGGACAGCACCTACTTTCCCACTGCAAAGCACAGCAGCCAAGGCAGTCACACTGACAGCAGAAAAGGGGGATGATTTTCCTCCCTGTACACCACCAGTTTGAGACCTGAAGATCTCTCTGCTCCACTGAATCCAGTAAAATGCATTATCCAAGAATAATCCAGAGACCTTTAGAGCCCTGGTTTTGAATAGGATGGATATAAATAAGTTTGAACAGGCTTTAACCAAGTCAATATACAGTTTTACAGCTTCACTTTAAAATACATCAATTAAACAGCATGTTTTGTAGGTTTTGTTGTACAGCAACATGTTTTGAGCAGAGTAAAAATTCCATGGGCATCAAAACAGAATTTCTTAAGAAATCTCTAGTGCCAAATCTGTAATTTAGCCCCAGACTATCTCTCTGAACAAGCAGAGGTATTTGAGTTAGAATTTCTTCAGACACAAAAGGTTCTAGGCTTTGCCCCATTTTAAGAGCACTCCCTTGCAGCACCTTTGGGTCCAGCTGTGGCATAAAACAATCCATTTCCCTTTCAATTAGAAAGTGGATAGATATAGACCCTCCTAAGTGTGATCTTGATGTCTGCAGCTGCCTCTCTGCAGACACTCGGTGACGGCTCTCCTGTTTTACGGGCGTGAGGATGAAGAAAGGGGGGTTTAAAGGAGCAGCCAAAGGTGACAAAGCAACCAAGAGAAACAACTGAATACAGAACGTGGGAGCCTGGTCACTTCCAACCATTCACCAATTTCCCTGTCTTTAATAAAATATTACTGCTTTCTAGCTTAGAAGAAATCACGCTAATAGAAAATAAAGTCTTCCTCTTCATCTCCCGTTCTTTAATCTCTCCCAGCTAATAAAACTCAATGGCAACAACACAGACTTGGGCATTAACAATATGTAGCCTGGTGCTGAGACTATTTGCACATGAGGCACTAAAACTCCCCCAGACCTGATGAAAAGCACAATGAAATTTCGAACAGTTAAATGGAAAAAACTGTTTGGTGCGTAAGAGAGCTGGGCAGCACGGCTCCTCGTGCTGTCCACGTTCCAGGGTGTATTAAACACAAGACAGTGCTTAAATGGGGGTTTCCAAATATCACTAATAGAGAAATGAGGGGAGGGAAAAACGCAGCTGCCAGGCCAAGTACAGAGAAAGAAGTTAATTAAAAAAATCACAACTGGAAAACTTCGTAACTATAGAATGACAAAATCATTTTGCAGCTTAATATATGTGTGTTTGTACACGTGTGAGTGGGTACAGAGCAGCTCAACTTGCACACCTTTCCTGCTGCCTCACTAAATATAGCTGCAATACAGCTGAGCCATTGTTTGTTGGCTGCTCAGGGCTGATGGTGCCATGAAAACCACATTCCTGGGCACTAAATAATCAGCCTGCCTGACCCCCCAAGAATCTGTAAGTCAAATTCATTTACCCCCAGAGGGCAATGCTCTATTGTATCCTCCCTCCTTTCTAGCCACCTAGGAACAATGGACAATAATTGCAACTGTCACGGCAGTCAGTAGGAAAAATAAACCAGTGCCTGTTTTCACAGCTTACTGCCAAACTTGATCCAAACACCTAATAACCATGCCCCCAACCACAGAACCACAGTCGCTCTAAAAAGCCTCAGATGTGAGGCTTTTGAACAGAGCTACAGAACAATAACTCGACTTGTGTTCAAAATATAAAGCTAAAAACCAAAAATTAAAGCAAAGAAAAGTCTTCTTTGAGGCTGTGCTGTTGCTCCCCATCCTTTCCCCCAGGCACGACTGAAAGGACTGTTGAATTTCTCTGGTGGTAGCATATAGCTGGCTGCTGCTGCTTTCAAGTTTAGCTTGTGAAAGGGAAAAAGAGGAAGGGAGAGAAAAGATTGCCCTCCAAAAGAAAAAGATCACAGGCAGTGGGAACAGACCACCTTCTCAGTGCACAGCACTCCTCAGAGCAGCTCTACAGAGTGCAAAGGCACTGCACAATCACTGGGAGTCCTTCTAAAGGTTCCACTGAGCCAGGAATTAAAGAGGCTCCACACACCGTGCAGGATCTGCTGAAATACACACCCAGAAGTGGGTATGAAAGATGTCTGCCCATCCTCTGTCCCTGGAACACCCTAAAGATGCATCAGAGCCTGGCCAGGGATGATGTCATTTTGAAACAAAGTGCTTTCAAAACCCAGAATGGCCAGGTAAGCCCAGTGGCTGCCCTTCCTCTTGAAGGCCTGTTGTTTTACACACATGGAGCAGGAATGAAGAACCCAGGCTTTGGCCCTCTGGAGCCATAACAATCACCATCATCATCTTCACAACAACATCTCATCCTATTGGGAGCACTACATTCTGTTATAAAGTTATTCTACACATGTAATGAAAGTATGTCTGAATTAAAAGCTCCTAGGGAGAGGCCTGGGGGAACAAGGGGAAGTCAGTGAACAGCAGAGGCTGATGCTGGTGGCCTATCAGTGACAGGCTGGAAGGCCCACAGAATTAAAATAACACTTTCTGTGCATCTGCACCAACCCACAAACTTGTGAGAGCAGCTTGTACTGTGTGCCTTACTGAATACTGCCCACCTCCTGTGCACAGGGTCCTTAAACCTGCCTTAAGCCGGGCACAAGGTCTGGGAGCCTGCCTGAGAGGGCATCTCTAGATCAGGGACAACATCAGAAAATAAACATTCCAGAAGTAATGGACAGAAACTAAACCCTGCTTATAAACACAGGAGGAGAAGGGCTTGATTGTAATTCCATTCTACTTTCACATTTCCAAAACAACATTGGCTTGGGTTTTGCTACTCCAGATGTACACTGATATAAACGGGAGAAGAATCAGAGTCGCTGTTTCTTTTCAGAGTGATAATGGCTGCTCTGAAAACTTGCAATTTTTGACATGTGTGTTTTGAGTGAGTTCCTCATCATAAGCACTGCAGAGGAATTATAAAAATATTAAACGACATGAAAACAAACAACCACAGGTTCCCTAAAACGACCTCAGATATATAAAACGGGGAAATATCTTGGCAAAGCAGAAAGTACTGCTGCTGGAGAGTGGTCAAATTCTGTCATTTTCCTTCTGGAGTACGGCTTTAAAAGAACATGCTTTAGTGCACAGATGTTGTACGCTGTCTTTTAAAATCTGCACTGGCTAATTTCAGTACCTAGAGGTATCATTACACAAACTTTGCTCTTTTTATTCTTCCCTACATGCAAAAAAAAAAAAAAAAAGTAAAAAAAAAAATTCTACATCATCAAAATCTGTCCAAAAATAAACAAGGAAATCAGATCACCCTCAGAGTTCAGACACTGAGGTCTGCTATGCTCTGATACCACACATGTCCGATACTGACTTTTTTTTTCCCCTATCCAGCAATAGGATGTGCTCGTTTGTAACAGAGAACGATATATGCAACAAAAGCTTAATGTCAATTCATTCACTTAGGGAAATACACCGTTTCATTGATTTATATAATCGCAGATGGGAGTGCATACATTTCATTTAAACCCCAAATTACCATGTTTGAAGGGGAGGGGAAGAGGAGCAGACAAAGTTCCACAAAGCCAGCAGTATCTGTATATTCATTCTTAATTTCCTTTAGCAGAGAAACAGCGTTACCTTTTATTTCTCCAAAGTTCCCTGATCCCATGGCAAGAAGCTTGTCTTTCCAGTCCTTTGATAGTAGCTTTTCAATACTGGGAGTTTCTGAGTGAAGGGGGGGAAAAAAAACGTAAGCAAATCAACATGACTGTCTCCACAATAGAACTCATTAAAAGTCTATCTGCTAAAAATAAGGCCAACCCTATTCTGGGCCCCAGTTAGTAATGACTTCATCAACAAACTGATAAGGGGGGGTGAAGAGAAAAAAAAATGGGGGGGAACAAAAAAGAAAAAACTGAATGTGTTTTGTCACCTGCTGTTTCAAAACCATTAGCTTTTTCCTCTAGTGGAACAAAGCTCCGGTAATTCTGTATTACAATGGGCACACATAAACCTGCAGTTCATTGTTTTTCAATTTGGTGAACAAGTTGCTGCCTATAATGGATGCCTGTCAGTTTCTGGGTGTTAGTCTGCAGTCGAAAAATAATTATGTTGATAAAATGCGGAGTAAAGAGAGAGAGAGAGAGAAGCAAAGAATTAGCTCCTAAATCTGCTACATGTAATTATATCCCTCTGAGCCTTTACAATTACATCCACTTTATAATGTGTGTTTAAACATCGTGTGGTGGTAAGCACACTGTGGAAAGATTTTCCAGTAACACACGCATTATAAATAATAATAAAAAGTTGGGTACGGAAAAAAGCTTTAAAAGACTGCAAAATCCAGAGGGAGAAAAGGCATTGCTTAGAATGGAAACCCATTATTTGCTCATTTCAGATTCTATCACTTCCTTTAAAAATAAAATAAAATATATTCGTTCAGTATTTTCAGGAAAAATGCAGCGAGGGTGTGGGATGGGTCTGATATTTATGTCTGCAACTCTTGCGTTCTGACCTCTTTTTGTGTAGAATTTTAATGCATAAGTAAATATAAATGCTAATAAAATTCAGAGAACATTAAACTCAATTCCAAACAATGTAATTGTATATTCTTGTCAGCATTTAGATGGGTACACAATTACAATAGCTTTCAATCCCACGATTAGCACTGCATTCAGTTAGAAAATGGAGTGTACTAAAAGATAAGTGTCCCAGTATGTGCCATCTAAATAACAATACCCACACTTATTATCTGGATCTAAGACATATACAGCTATTCTCCACATCCGTGTTTATGTGTATTTGTATTTGTTCAGGCATTTGTTTACCCCCTACCAGGAGCATAAAGGGAGCACACGCTAACTTATCAAAGGGACCGTCTGGCCTAGAGACCATACAATTATTAGCAACTGGTTAACTTTCCCCACAGTAAAAACCTTTACGAGCAGCCTTCATTATGTCGTTCGGCCGATCCGGCTCCTCTCCCGAGCCGCGGCTCGGAGCTGGAGGCGCTGCGGCTGCCGGGGCTCTGCCGGCCGCGCCGGGGATGCTCTCCTGCATCCCACACCCACCTGCGCGCTCGCACGCAGGCAGGACGGACAGACGGACGGACGGACAGCCGAGCCGGGCCGGGCGAGCAGCGACAACCTCCGGATGGCACCGCCAGCCCAGCAGGGCGATGGGCTGCGCTGCGGGTCTGTTCACCCGGCAGCACCCCGACCTCCTCCTGCGCACCCGCGGGCCGATCCCCGCCCTTGGCCGGGCGAGGTTTCTCGGCCACAATCCCTGGGCTTGTCCCCGAGCCCAGGCAAGCCCGGCGCTGCCGGCGGAGCCCGCTCCGAGCGCGGCCGCCGGGCTCCGGCCGCTGCTCCGCCCGCCCCCTCGGAGCGCCCACCAAGGAAACCATCCCCACTGCGCGAATAGGTCAGACAAACACCGCCCCTGTTCCTCGTTCCTTTCTTTTTAATATGTATTTTTTAATTAATATTCCTCCGTGCTTTTCTGAGAACTCCGGAACGGCGTGTAAACAGGCCGGAGCGAATGCGGCGTTTGCGGCGGAGCGCCGTCAGTCACTAAAAGCCAAGAAACCTTTGCAAAGCAGGAATGCGGCAACAGGGACCCACTGTGAGCTGACAGCGGGCTCCAGAGCCTCCAGGCACCAAAAGCAGCCCGCCTTACTTTTAAGTCCATTGTCAGCAAAGTCCAGGACAAAGCTTTTCCCCCGCGGCTGGACAAAATACTCGCCGTGGTGCGCTGGTGAAGAAGCACAAGTCTGCTGCCTAACTTGCTGCCTTAAAGCTACAGCAGCGCTCAGGAGCCGGGGCTGCCAGAGCCCGCTGCCTGCCGGCATCCCTGCCTGCCTGAATCCCAGTTTGCCGGCATCCCTGCTTGCCTGAATCCCAGTTTGCCGGCATCCCTGCTTGCCTGAATCCCAGCTTGCCTGAATCCCAGTTTGCCGGCATCCCTGTTTGCCTGAACCCCTGTTTGCCAGTATCCCTGCCTGCCGGCATCCCTCCTTGCCCTAACCCCTGCGTGCCTGAATCCCAGTTTACCGGCATCCCTGCCTGCCCGAACCCCAGTTTGCCAGTATCCCAGCAGCCGGCATCCCTCCTTGCCAAGCCGTGCCGTGCCGAGCCGGGCCCAGCCGCAGGGCTCTGCTCCATCCCCACAGGCTGAACCGTGCCGTGCCATGCCAGGCCCAGCCGCAGGGCTCTGCTCCATCCCCGCAGGCTGAACCGTGCCGTGCCGGGCCAAGCCGCAGGGCTCTGCTCCATCCCCGCAGGCTGAACCGTGCCGTGCCATGCCAGGCCCAGCCGCAGGGCTCTGCTCCATCCCCGCAGGCTGAACCGTGCCGTGCCATGCCAGGCCCAGCCGCAGGGCTCTGCTCCATCCCCGCAGGCTGAACCGTGCCGTGCCATGCCAGGCCCAGCCGCAGGGCTCTGCTCCATCCCCGCAGGCTGAACCGTGCCGTGCCATGCCAGGCCCAGCCGCAGGGCTCTGCTCCATCCCCGCAAGGCTGAGCCGAGCCATGCTGTGCCAGGCCAAGCCGCAGGGCTCTGCTCCATCCCCGCAAGGCTGAGCCGTGCCGAGCCGAGCCGGGCCAAGCCGCAGGGCTCTGCTCCATCCCCGCAAGGCTGAGCCGAGCCGTGCCGTGCCGGGCCAAGCCGCAGGGCTCTGCTCCATCCCCGCAGGCGAGCGGGGCCGGCTGAGCCGCGGACGAGCAAGGGGGAGCAATGAACGCGGCCATGTATCAGTGACTGAATTTCTGCGAGAACGGTGAGGATCGCAGTAGGAAATCACGATTAGAGATGTGAAAGGCCAAATGGCAAAATCCCAATAGTAACAATGCATCTGTTCATTAATGTGTGAATATGAGTAATATGAAAATTTAACACAATTATAAGCCCCCTCAGCAATCCTGATGGCATAAAATAGATTGTGGTGATCTAATCAGTGCTTCCCCTGTTGAAATACTGTATGTTAACTATTCAAAATAATACTATATAGATTTTTTTTCCTTTAAGACCCCCAAGCAATCATATTAAATTGATGTCCTAACTTAGTCTCAAACCTCTCTTGATTTGAACTGCCATTTTTACGTAAGGCACTTCAACACAATTTTGACACAGAATCAGCAAATAATCGTCCTTCTGTTAATACTTAAAAAGAACTTTAATTCAGAAAGACAATAGCTTCCCCACCCCTATAGCTTTACACAGCCAAAGACCTAGATTAGATTACAGCTTGTTTAATTCTATTGTATACCATGTTAACATCTTGTACTTACATAAAATATGCTATTCATATACTCAGCCTATCACATTTCAGTAACTGCTTGTGAAATACCTTGTGCACCATGTATTGGAAAGAAACATTTATTATGTCATTTATGTACCCCATTAAAAAAAAAGATTTGAAATTTACACATCTTAAATAAAAATAACTGTTTAAAAGGTTACGACAGTAGAGGTTCCATGAGTTACACAGAAACAGTGATCCTTTGTTCAGCTTTTTTTAGACTTGATTGGGAAGATGATGCTCTCAAATTAAGAGAAGAAATAAACGCTGTCTCTTGTTTGCAAGGCAGGCATTCTCTGGATTCACTGCAAAGTCACTAAAACTTTTAATGCTGGCACATAGAATGTGCAGCTTGGAACAGGGCAAGGTGGCCTGCACACAGAACTGCTGCTCCTGATCCCTACTCCAACCTCTCCTCTCCTCTTGGACTCCCCAAACCACGGTTCCTACGTGCAAAACCTGAGCTGTACTGGGACAGGTTCTGGATGTGCATCAGGACAGCTATGCATTCCAGTGCTCTGCATTTCCAAAAAGCTACACAGGGTGTTCTGAGCACTCATAACAGCCCCTTGGAGCAGAACCCAGAATTGCCCCTTTGCTTCCCCCAAGCCCCAGTGAGCTGAGAATGCCCCCAGCACCATCTGCAGTGCAGGTCCTATGGCCCACAGGCACAGGATGAGCTCACCTGCAAGACCTGTTCACAGGCTGTTTGTGAACAGTAATTACTCACTGATGTTTGACACGTTTGCTCCAGACACACCAAGAGGAGTGCTACACGTTGCTGCAGAAGAGGATTACAGAGAGGGCCCCAAAGAGAAGGACTGAGATGGAAAGAAGAACAGGAATCATCAACTGAACACTGGCCAAGAGGCGCCTGACTGAATCAGCAGAGATACAAATTAACCCACAAAAATGATTTCTGCTGTCTCTACTTCACACACTTATCAGTCATTAGCTCTTTCTAGAGATATTTATGGCACCTTTTATTTTCCTTCTTCCCCCTTGCCTCTGTTGGTTACACATGCCTGTCTGCATCACTGTGTCTGGCAGTGCCCACTGGTGAGTGCCCCAGTGCCTGTGCCAGCAGCTCTCAGTGCCCCCAGCCCTGCCACCCTCCCTCTGCTCCAAGCTGACCCCCTCATCCTCAACAAGGAGTTTTGGAGACTGATCTGGAATCTCACACAGGCCTAGGGCACCTTCCTTGGAGCTGTGAGAGCCCCACGTTCACTGCTCTGCACATATGGATGTGCCTGCACACCCAGGGAACTGCCCTTGCACGAATCATCTCAGTAAATTAACATTAAATGGCTTTTTATCTGATTTTTGGTATGCCGACAAGCGTGTCACTGTCCCTCTACTCCTGCATGTGATATTTAAATACAGCTTCATTGACTTACTTGCTCAATAGCCCTGAAGTTTTCACACTG